ACTTTTTGTTACTGAGTAGTGTGGGGCTCGTGCACTTTTTGTTACTGAGTAGTGTGGGGCTCGTGCACTTTTTGTTACTGAGTAGTGTGGGGCTCTTGCTTTCCCTGCTGCTTTGGGTTATTCTGGTCTTACCGCAGCACCCTGAGCGTCTCCTTGCCACACAGCCCCATCGGCCAACAACAGGTGGAGCAGGGTGATACAAGTCGGCCTCTGGAAACTGTCATACTCTGACATTCTTTCCGTTGGAGGAAAGGTCGTAGGTCACGGAGTTGGCCAGCCAGGCGTGTGGTCCAAGTGAGCGACGTGTGTGTTTTGTCGGGGGGGGGGGGCGGCGGGGGGGCCGGGGGGGGGGTGGGGGTTGAATTTGGGACACCTCGACAGTGACGAGGTGTCCCATAGGTGCCTGGGGCTTCCATGCGAAGGACATAACTGGTATCCTGATGTTTTGCAGGCTTATGAGAAGTGGGTGAAGAAGAATGGGGAGGAGAAAGGACTTCCTGCCCTGAAGCTTACAAACCGCCAGCTCTTTTTTGTCGGATTTGCACAGGTTTGTGTCCCCCTGTCCCGCTCCACACCAGCCTGCCTCTAAGCCACGCCGACGATGCAGATATTGCCCCTTTGACCAGCTGGGTGCCTGAGAGCAGAAGGCTGCTAGGTTTCTGCTGTTCCTCTAAGTCTCTGGTATGGAACAGAGTGATTTAACAGGCTAAAAAGAGGGCAGGTCAACATAAATGTATTTCACAATACTCCAAGCCATCTATCTTTTCCTTTTCAACATATTTGAAGTAATTGCCAGCAGACTAACTCAACACAGCAATTGAAAATAACAAAACCATTAACATTTTATTTGTTAAATGACTCTGTGACATATATGTACATTGTGTATTTTCTTCAGTACATTTTTAAATGTTAATGCATGAATGAAGTACTTTATTTGCCATTTGCACAAGTACAGGTATATTGGAATTCTTCTCTTTGCACATCCCATCTTGCTCTCCTATGAGACACATTATACACACACACATATATATACAGTAGGAGGTGAGGCTGGGTCTGAATGCAGGATCAGGCTATTTATCTGCCTTGCTTTATTCTGTCACTGTTCTGGAAAGGCCTGGGCTCGAACTGATGGCATTCTGGTCATGGGCACAGAGGCCAAACACTCTAACCCCCCCCCCCCCCAAAAAAAAAATAAATCCACCAGAGTACAATTGGTGTGTTGCATAAATGGTGAAAATATGCATGGGACATTGTAGGGACAATTTGAAATTTTAGGTTAAAACACTTGACTGAAGACTGCCTCTATTGGATTTTGTCCGTAAAACACCATAAACTTGAAATGTCAGGGAAGAGTCGTACTTCTGTTTGGTGGGGGGGGGGGGGGGGGGGAGGTCTATGACATTCGGGCTAAATGGGGGTGGTGGTTTATAGTTACACATGGAGAATTGCTGAATAATGGAGTGGCTAGGATACATGCTAATGTTTGTTTGTTTTTTTTTTCAATTAACTTGCTTGTTAGATGGTTACAGTAGGATCCCACTGTCTTCTGTGTGTTTTCTTTGAAGGTGTGGTGTTTAGTACGCACCCCAGAAAGCTCCCATGAAGGGGTCATCACCGACCCACACAGCCCATCCCGCTTCCGTGTCATCGGCACCGTATCCAACTCACTCGAGTTCTCCAAGCACTTCGGTTGCCCGGTTGACTCCCCGATGAACCCCAGGAGCAAGTGCGAGCTGTGGTGACAACGTGGATGACCTACTACCCTACCTACCACGCCCCCCCCCCCACCCCCCCCGGACATGGACCTGTGACGGCAAAGTCCGCATGCCAGAGCCTCAGCCCGACACCCCCAATCCCACCCAAAGATCCTCACAGTGCACCTTGCCTTGCACCTCGGAGTTCCCATTCCTCTCTTAATCTCAATTTTATTTTTTCCCAAAACTGTTTTTCCCTAATGGGGGTCTGTGAATAGGTTTCTCTTAGGAAGAGAGACGGACTAAACACTGGAAAACTGCCAGAAGATGGAAAAAGATATGCAAATCTTTGCCTCTTTAGTTTCGTGAATAAATGTTAGTTTCTTTTTTTATCCCTTTTCTTGATAGGAGGTCATATTTATTTTCTTACATCTCACGTTTTATAGTCTTTTGCGTATGGACTCTTTTTACATAAAGGTTTTTACGAGTAGTTTGCTCTCACGAATTAAAATGTATGACTGCCTTAATTAAGTAGACTCAATTTTTGATTTGCCCATTTTAAAAACAAAAGTTGATTTACCTTAAATGCCAGTCACTGAAAATGGTGATGTTGATCTTGCCTCTTGAGAAAAGGTCATGGGTGCAATTTTGAAAAATTTTTTAACGTACGGAAATACCAGGTATGGCTTTAGTCCTGTATGATTTAATTGGTTATCATAAATTATTTCTCTCAAATGTAACGTCAGATTTCATTCGCGAAACACGCAATGCAATTTTTACAATGAAGGGAAAATGGTCCAGGGTGGAGTTCTGTGTGTATATAGTTATTTTTATTTCTCATTAAAATGACGAGTGGCTATTTGTCACCACAGCTACGGGTTGTGATCACTCAAAATATATTTGTGTTTGTATATATTTGTCTAAAAACTATATGAATATCCTCCAGTCCCGAAAATATATATTGTTCGATGCTCACTGTAGTAAAATCCGTTTCGTTCTGTGAAGAAAGTTTGGAAGAAGATTATGCATTATGCATGTCCCAGAATGAGACTGGCCTGATGGAAATCTGACTGTTAAGTAGAGTCTACAGCAGGGTTGCCAGATCTCACACATCTGGCGTGACACTCACATTTCCAGACCCTCACGCTCACGCAAAAAATCTGTTACTCCATTATAAACCTAAAATTAGCCACATCAAAAGCATTGGGATGGTGTACAAACCCTACAGACTATTTACAAGATAATAAAATTGTTACATACATGTAAATGTGTGTGCAGACTTGTCTCGAACTGAAAATCCTACTCCAGCAAGCTGATCAGACTTGGCAACCCTGCTACAGGCATTACAACTATTACTACTTTTTAAGTGTTGTGTAAGCGCTTTATTGTTCGTGAAACTCGAAACTGCAATATAATGCTCAGGAATCTTTATATATAGGGCCTACATTTTTTTTTTTTTTTTTAAGAATTATGCATCTTTTTGGCAAGTGGTGATTTTTGTTAGCGGGTTTATTTGATGGTTAAATGTTGACACTTGACAAAATTTTTGCCCGAATTAAAGTAGCGCTTTCCCAGTTTCGGAGTTTTATGTCGTCTCTTGCGCAAAGATTTAAACGTTTATTTGGGTTAAAATGTTGTTCACGTGTAAAAGATATCGCCCAGTTTGAAATGTTGCCGCTAGATGTCGCTGCTGCGTTACAAACAGCTGCCTGGTCGTACACCTGAACGCAATGCATCCGTCTTTTAACCGCGTAGCCTGGTCAATGTCTTTCACTTTGACAAGATGCCAGTCCACTGCAGAGCACACGCACAATTTAGAAACACCGATTAGTCATAGAGACACAGAATGGAGGTGGGATTTGAACACTCAGTCTTGGAAGTGTGATACACCATACCACCCATTCTATCCACCCAATAAATATAACAACCAGGGCTGCGTTTCCCAAAAGCTCCCGTTAGCAACTATGCTTTTGGGAAACGCACCCCAGGGTGGTCAGCGTCGGTGGAGTCTGGAGCCTGTAGCAGACAGCACAGGGTAAAGCTGGGATGCAACACTATCGTTATAGAAAAAAAGGAGTTGGTAATCCGTGTTGACGATTAAGGCCGGACATGCCCGAGTCGACGTCACAGCCTTTCGTCGGAGGTCTGTCGAATACTTCCGGAAAAGGCCGACGTTTTCCGAACCGTCCGTCCTGCCGGACTGCTGGAGGCGGTCGCAGCGCCATGTTAAGCGGAGCGTCCGACCTCGGCGCAAAATGACTTTAAATTCTACCGCTGGCCGAGAATAAGTGTTACGCAGCTCAAGAAGGAGACGCCAGCAACAGACCCTCTAGGAGCAGCACCGATCCGGGTCCGCGGAGATCCGGACAGAGAGGGGGAAGACGACCCCCCCGCCACCGTCCCCATGCAGATGCAACACCGATATTAAGCGACTTTCCATTAAAAAAGGCTTTCATTGCAGGGATTAAAGGCCGCCTCCGGGAGCAAACCGCCACTGTGCTTTTATGCATAAATTCCGGCAAACTGCAATCTGTAGATACAACTCTAGATAGATTGGTATTTATTAGACTTTTGCCCCCTTTTGTTAATTTTTTTGCAATGAGTTTGCCGCCGCAGAAAGCGGCACCGAAATCCGCCGCCGCAGTAAGTGGACCGGGAGCCGGCCCGTCTCCGGCGGGGCAGCTGCGAGCCTCCCTGACCTCCGTGTCTCTGCCGCCCGGAGCCCCGGCCGCTCCGCCACCCGCCGCACCGCCGCACCAGTATCCTTTCAATACTGATGATTTTGCACCCATGCCGGTCTGGTCCACGGGGATAGAGGATGCCTTTGGGGGGGGTGGAAAATACGCACACACGTGGGTTGGAGGTGGATGCGTTAGTTTGATGCTGGTTGGTAATGGAGCCCTGAGTGAGGCGCCGCATTTGCGTGTGTAAGCGGATAAGTTGCTCGTTGTGCGCTAACCGGGAGATGGAACGATTGGGGGCGGCTGCTTCATTTTAGCCAAACTTGACAACTCTCCCTGTCGGTGCCGAGGGGGGCATTTAAAAGGAAGCGCAGGGCTGGTATATGCGGGGGCTTTGGGTTTCGGTGAGTGTGACTTAAGTTTCTCTTCCCATCGTCGCCACCTTATTAAGGGATCCTCCGATATTTAGCGCAGGGAACTTACAGTATGCAGCGGTAAAATAGCCTGCATGCAGTATTAATCAATGATTAAAAACCGGTGTTCACTAATTAAGATACCAATAAACTAAAACTGGAGATATATCAAATTAAAAAGTTCCGAGCCTTATTTTCCGTCTTCACACTGTGTCAGATAACCATTTTTCGGGGGGAGGGTGTTTAATTTACTGCTGATTGATGTGTAATGCTGATTTCCGAATTCCCACCTTTGTCATGTTTGTGAATATGTGCTAAATGTAATGTATGGGTTTTAAAAATGGGAGGTATCGGTTCATTTAAGCACGACAAGTCAGGTTAGCCCTGGTTACGCTATATGCCAGTATGTTAGCTTAAAGAGAGCAATGTGCAGAAATGTGAACCAGACGAGTATATTATTATCATTATTAATAATAATAATAAGAATAATGATTAGAATAATATTGTGCATGAAGCCGCTTCAGGCGTGCCGCTGCACGCCCGGCGCAGTGCCGACGCCCCCGCAGACGGACAGCTATTCCAGCCGCTCTCTGCGTTTTGCACCGGCGATGCGCCTCTGCTGATCCAAAGCCTTGTCGTGCTGCCCCCCGCTCCCGAGGGAGGGAATACTAGTATGCAAACTTGTAGATATTCAACCTGACAGTTTTACTGTGCTGTTGTTCAGGAATATTACTCTTATTTGAAAGCAGTTTCTCCAGTACCGGTCCTAGCCGGTGTGGCGCCCTAGGCGAGCATTACCTCCGGCGCTCCCATTTGAGGCAAAGGAAAATTGGCTGGCAAATCGGCGCCCCCTCAGAAGGTGGTGCCCTAGGCGTTCGCCTGTGTTGCCTATAGGAATTACCGTCCCCGACTTTCACGAAGCTCTTCAGATTATATTGACGGTTCGCTGGGAAAGATTTTTTCCAACCTCTTTCACTTTGTATTTTGTCTACAAGTATGGGACGGTTCACAACAGAGGAACTGTGATTTGTTGATACCAATATTCAGGGGTAACTTGATTTGTAATGGGCTAACTCATAGTATTGTAGTGTCTCGGTTTGTGAACCTGTATTAGTAGTTATTAGTATTAGTATTAGTATTAGTAAACCTGTTATTAGTGAACCTGTATTAGTAGTTATCTAGTTATTGTTCGTGGAAGCATATTTTTGTTATGTTTTTCTATTATATTATTCCACTAAGCTGACGAGAAACGAAGTGGTTTCCTGTCATCCGATCCTGTGATGATCTTTTCAGGTGACTTTAGAAGTTTGCATTGTTGGTAATTGTTACATTATCTTCCATTTCCTGAAGGGTTGGTCCATGGTAGATTTAACATTAATGTAAAAGCCAGCGTAGGGGATTTGTCATTTGTAAAGTTAATAGGTTTGAACTGACTGCAGCAAATGTTGTCCTTTTTTTTAATTAACGTTGGCAAGTTCAGAACAGTGGAAATGTCCTACCTCTGATGCAACTATGCATAACTTCACAAGTTCTCTGTTGGAGTCGATGCCCTTTTGGAGAAAGTCTGAATTTTGTGTTGAGTTGTGTTGGCTAGTGTCTACGCCCTTGATTTCATGGCGCAGGTGGTGATGGTGTGGAACTGAAATGTGGACTGGGCTTGGCTTATGGTGGGGAAGGAAGAGGTTGAGAAGATTTCATTTAAGTGAGCATGAGGCTTATAGATTGTATTTGCTCATGCATTAGCCCTTTTTTGGGGGATTTGTCAGGTGTGTTTTGGCTAGTGCTTTGATATATAAGGCCCCAGGTAGGACTTCTGACTTAAGAACAGATACAGGCCCATTTAATTCCGAAACTCTTGTAATACAACTATGGGGCCTGTCTGAATCAGTGACCACTTTCACCGCTGTCTGTCCCTGCAGTCTTAGTGCATTGCTTTCCGATGAAAACCACGTATGTCTTTTTGATAATTGTGACTTTTTACTGTAGATGGAATTAGGGCTGGGCGATATCATTTCGATCATGTATCACACATGCACAATTATCACCAGGGCTTCAGATGAGGGGTGAAACATTTGGCTGGCCGCCAGCTTTTCGGTATCATATGGCCGCGATTTGTATCCTCTCCTACAGCAAGTCCGCCCATAGCTGTTGTAACTGGCCCTCGAAATCCTGCAGATTAGCACTGGGTCTGACGTCCTTGTCGATCCCACACATGTTCGATTGGGGAAAGACTGGGGGACCTGGCTGGTCACAGGAGGACCTCAGCATGACGCAGGCAGTCCATAGACACATGTGCCATGTGTGGATGGGCGTTGTCTTGTTGGAAGACTGTACCAGGGTGCTGTGTCAGGAGGGGTAAGACATGCAGACGCAGGATGTCACTGATGTAGCGCTGTGCCGTCAGCATCCCCCTAATCACTACCAGAGATGACCTGAATGATGCCAGGAGTAACGCTGGTGTTTCTTCACAACATCGGCAGGATTAGTCATCTCCTCTCAGCGCCACCACACAACGGTCATCCGTGGTAATTCAGAACCGAGGTTCTTCACTGAACGTGTACGACTCCACTCCTCATCAGTCCATGCCTCCCAGTTACCACTCCACTCCAAACGTAGCCGTCTCTGTGCTGGTGTTAATGGCAGCCTATGCATGGGATGGTGAACCTGTAGCCTCTTGGCTACTGATGCGAGTCGTCGAGACACAATGCGGGATTACAAGGGGTGTTGTAAAGAGTCCAATACCTGTGTCCGGATGGCAGGCACAGGGGTCATGGGGTTCTGTAATGCTTGGCACACAATACGACAATCCTCCCTTGGTGTGGTCTGTCTTGGGCGACCAGAACCTTCACAACAGGTGTGGGTGCCTTCATACGCCCATTGGTTCTAACGTAGGGCGACTGTGACATCTGCATGCCCCACATGCCAGGCAATTGCATGATACGACCACCTGACCTCATGCAAACCCACAATGCGACCCCTATCAAACTCCATCAAGTGCTGGTAATGCTGTCTAATGCGTCTACGAGGCATCCTCCGTGTCTGGTGGCTAGACATGCCAGGTCCTTGCAAATCGAGTCATTTACATACCCATGGCTGGTCTGCACGTGTACCAAATTACATCCAAATCGGACCTTTACATCTGGGTGCTTAACTTTTTTTGTCACTGAGTGTAATATCGATATGATATCACCCAGTCCTAGATGGAATACGCATATTCTTCTGTCTATGGATAGCATTTGACTTGTAATTGACCAGTGAAAAGAAGTTTTATTAATCATCTATCGGTCTCATTAGAAGAGCTCTGTGTGATGGTAAATGTACTGTATGGTAGGGTTCTGGTTATGTCAAAACATTCAGACTAGCTGTCCAAAATCTACCAAGTTCTTGGAATATAGTGAACAGGGAAACATGGCTTGAACCAACCATGCACCACTGGAAAGTATGATAAGAAAAGCACATAATCAGATACGTGGTAATATGGCAGAAGGAAGACAGAGCATAGCTGATGAAGGTCTTGATAACAAGCGAAAGCGTAGCTGCATAGGTCTGCATTCGCTGGCAACAAACCATGTAAGTCCCTTTAACTCCTTTGCAAAGATCAGATTTCCTTTACTGTAATTTTTAGGGTATTTGCACACATTAAAAAATCCCATTCCTTCGAAACTGAACAGTGCCGTCAAGTATCATGTTAACAAGAAGGGTATAAAAAATATGAACAAAATATACATAGCTGAATAAACAGGAGCATCCTATATCCTATAGTCGTCAAAGTGGCCAGTGTTGGGAAAGGATCTTGAAGGGATGTGGGGGGATGTGTGTGCTTGGGAGGTGGATGTGGGGGGAATGTGTGTGCTTGGGAGGTGGATGTGGGGGGAATGTGTGTGCTTGGGAGGTGGATGTGGGGGGATGTGTGTGCTTGGGAGGTGGCACTACGCAGTCAGCAGTGTAACAGCCTGGGGGAAGACGTTGTTTAGCAGCTTTGTGGTCCTGGTTTGGATGCTCCTGTACCTCTTTCCAGATGGCAGGAGAGAAAACAGCCTGTGTGAGGGATGGGGGGGGGGGTGGTCCCTGATGCTGCTGGAGGCGCTGTGAGCACAGCGTTGCTGGTAAATCTCCAGCAGAGAGTGGAGAGGGGCACCAGTGATCTTCACTATCCTGATTAAATGGTGCTGTTCAGCCACTTTAGAGTTACTGAACCAGGAAGTGATGCAGTACGTCAGTATACATTCAGTGGTGGCCCTGTGGAAGGTGGTGAGGGCTGAGGAGGGGGGGGGCACCTGTACAACTGTCACCATTACTCAATTAAACTTTTAACAAGCATCGATTACAATATGCCGCCTTGATTACTCTGCAATATGGTGGAAGCATGGACATAAATTATGGAGGTGGGGTATAACCCCCC